ACGGGTTGTTCGGACCCATTTGCTTCGGGTCAGCAGCCGAGAGATCGACTCCCTCGCTCGCCGGCTCGCACCTCCCATTTGCTTAAGCCCCCTGGGAAAAATAAGAATAGTTCCAGTAGTGATAGATTCCCTTTAAAAGCCAAGAGGGGAAACCGCATATTCTTAAGCAAATGGAAGGCTCGTAAGGAGTTCACGGAGCGGTGCCTGAAGCTCCACGGCCCCGCGCGGTCCGCGGACCTGTTCGCGCTGCGCCAGGGCTCAGTGCCTTGGGGCCGTTTTCGGGGTGCGGCGGTGAAAAGAGTTGCGCTTCGGGAAGACGCTTTTCGGGACATGGGGCGGGGGAAAACACACACACAAAACTGGGAAAAACTGGGAAAAACTAGGAAACCCAGGGAAGAAACTGGGAGGCCCTTGGTCTAGGGGGAAAAAGGAGCCATGTGGGCTATGAACGGGTTTTGCTTTGAGTTGACCAGCTTAGGGCCCCTTTTTTTTTGGACGCCTGCTGTGCCGGAGCCTAGGAGAAGTTTGGAGTTCAGCTTCTTAACATCGAGGACCTTGTTGCGCATCGGAAGCCACCACTCAAATCCGGCCTCCCCTATGCGCAGAGTGCTGCGTATGGGCATGCTAGGGTCAGACAAAGTTGCCGTGGGCTTTGGGCAGTTTGGAGCTTGGAGGGCGGACCCTAGCTGTGAACGTTGGCAACAATCTACGGGTTGTTGTATTACACCCTGGGAATACACCCACTGGGTATTGACCCCCCTTTCCGGATAAAACCTTTTTTTTTTCAGAATGAAGCATTCTGGGTCATGTCCCAAGGGTGTAATCCCGGGGTGTAGTACAAAAACCCTCAGAAACAAGCTGCTGGGCAATTGATGCCAGTTTTTCTCCTTCGCGGTTCCGTTTCGCCTTTCAGGACAAGCAGCGGAAGCTGGAGAGGCAATTGGAGCTGTTAGGTAGCGGGGTGCAGCGCGGATACCTGTAAATTACCACGAAGAACCTCCAGCAGCTACAGGAACAAGCAAAAAAATCGAAGAATGTACTTAAAAAAATCATTTGGGTGCGTGTTCTTTTTGTTCCTGAAAGCTTTGTTGGAAGTCTACACGCAAATGCAGGGTGGCCGATTCGGGCTCGACATGTCCTGAAGCCACCACGCTCAGCTGCGGCTTTTGTGGCAAAGTTTGTCTATAGCTTTCAATTGGTGCAGCCGAAAGAACGGAGCCTGTCTTAGGCTTCCGTTCTTTCAGGGCGCAGAAAAGACAGAAAAAGCAAAAAACGTGCCCGGCTTGGAGCATTTTTCGGCTTCTTCAAGTCCCTCAAAGGGCCCAGAGGCTCGGAGCCAGGGATTTTTTTCTCGCTCGGAAGCACAGATCTGTGCGTGTTTCACTGGCGTCCTGCGAACGCAGGACGCCCTCCCGTCCCCGCTTCGGTAAATGTGAAGCTTGGAAAGTCACAGGCGGATGCGCTCCAGCAAGCCGATTCGATTCCTGTCGAGTGCCAAGTCTGTGACTTCCAAAGGGGCCGAGTAAATATACCATCTTGCGATCTCGGGTCGAAAACTCTGCTGAGATCTGCTGAGTCGTGGATGGGGTGATGGGAGTTTTTGCCGCTTTCCAAGAGTCCGATCTGCAACTCGTGGCCTCATTGGGCGCTGCTTTCGGTGTGAAAGGGGCGGGCACAGCTGTGGCACATCACGCTAGAGTTGGCGCATCCCTTGACGGCTATTGGGCAACGGATCTTTAGACTTACACTTCTTGGTTGAAATCAAGTTTTTTTTCTTCTCCGAACCAAACCCACAAAAAGTGAAGCTCACTTTTTGCAGAGGGGTCGTTGCAGTAAATCCCAAGAAAGAAATAAACCCAAGCTACTCCATGGGAACGCGCCCGTGAAGAAGTGACGATGTTGGCTTCTCATTTCTTTGGCATGACGTCTTCCCGGGCCGTGCAGTCCGAGCCCAGGTGCTGCCGTCCCCAGCGCGAAGGCGCTGCATCCCCATTTTTGTCTGGCTACCCCTTGGCACATTCCTAGGTTGCGACAAAAAAGCGGTGAGTGATCCAGTTGCCTAGTTTGGGTAAGCCTGGAGTTTGGTCCGGGCCGTTTGGTTGCATCTCTCTTCTGCCTTTCCGAGAGCAAAAGTCTCGGAACGTGTACGGCTTCCCATCAAAAGTCTCGGAATGTGTCCGAAGCTTAGGCAAAGAATGGTGATCTGGACCCTCATGGTTTGATCGGTTCCACTCCCCGGGCCTCGAGTCCGGATCGATCCGTTGACCATTTTCACCCGGCGGAATTTCGCCCGAGGGAGTTCAATGTGAGGACAGGGGGCTGGCTTTGACTCCTCAGAAGCCGTCGTTTTGGCTTTTGTCCTTGTTTCCTTAATCCTTACCCTGGGGGCACGCAAGGAGCAGGTCTCCTTTGTGGCTTCCCTGTAGCGATGGATTCGGATTGGCCAAGCCTCCACTTTGAACAGCCCAGTTTTCTTGTTGCTTGCGAGAATTCCTTTCAAGGGCTCCGATCCTACTCTCTGGCTGACGATCCTTTGGTGCATTTTGCTTAGATCTTAAGACTTTAACTTTTTGCCAACTGATGGGTTTTCCGAATTAAACCACTAACAGTTCAACTGTTAGCAGGGGAGCAGATTTGGCAACCGAGGTTGGAGGGTTCAAGAACCCATTTCCTCTGGGGGGAGAGATCCGCGCCGGATGCTCGACGGAACCGGCCGGTGGTCATGACCTTTGGAAAGCCCTCAATCAAGAGGAGGTATCTAGGTTCCATTCTTTCCAGGAATCCTTCTTTTCAGGAAACCATCAAACACCCAGGAAAAAACAGCCGGTTGTTGAAAAGAACGATAGTTGAAAAGAATGGAGAATCAACCCTAGAATGTATCTCTGTTTATGTGCGTCTCTGTGTATGGGTTGGGTTGGGCTGGGTTGGGCTGGGGTAGGGAGGGCTTGTGAACTTTTTGGCTCCAAGTTGCATGCTGGAACTGCCGCAACACGCGAGGTGTAGTTCCTTGCTGCTGTGTTTGCTCTGTTCCGGTCATGTTGAGGGAGGCAGTTTGTCGGCCCAAGTCAATCGCAGGTGTCTTGAAACAAAAGGAGAGGCCACCGCACGTTTCGGCAAACCTCCCCGCGCGATCCGGCGCTCGCCTGAACCCGGCGGGCTCGGGCGCGTTTTTTGTATTGTTTGTTTTTGCCATGGCCTGTGCAGATGATGAGCCCCCAGGGCCCCCAGGCTTGGAGCGAGTTTGGGGCGTTTTTTTTCTCCCCCCGAAAGCATTGCGAAGGGTTCTTCCGGTAAAATCGCCAGCCTTATCACACAGCTACACTTGCACGAGCCAACTTGCACCAGCCTTATCGCACAGCCAAACTTACACGAGCCAACCTACACGAGCCAACTTGCACGAGCCAACTTGCACGAGCCAACTTGCACAGCCAACTTGCACGAGCCAACTTGCACGAGCCAACTTGCTCGAGCCAACTTGCACAGCCAACTTACACGAGCCAACTTGCACGAGCCAACCTGCACGAGCCAACTTGCCCGAGCCAACTTGCATGAGTCAACTTGCACGAGCCAACTTATACGAGCCAACTTGCGCGAGAACAACTTGCACGAGATATCGCGCAGCCAAACTTGCACGAGACATTTGGACATGAAAGTAAGTAGTTACTCTCTTGAGGCGGCGCGGTGGGACCGAACCCACCCTGCTAAAATGACACCCTCTGCGGGGATTGGCGTGGTCGATGTCCAAAAACTGACCTTCTGCGGGGATTGGCGTGGTCGATGTGCAAAAACTGAGGACTTTTTACGATTTCTGATTTGCGCGCGCGACCCTCTGCGGGGATTGGCGTGGTCGATGTGCAAAAACTGAGGACTTTTTACGATTTCTGATTTGCGCGTGCGCGACCCTCTGCGGGGATTGGTGGTCGATGTGCAAAAACTGAGGACTTTTTACGATTTCTGACTTGCCCGCGCGACCCTCTGCCAGGATTGGCGTGGTGGATCGCACGAAATGCTAGTAACATGCTACTTTTTCAAGTCGGAACGCGGGCTTGAGAGTTTGTCTCGCGTTTACGCGCCTGCTCTTGGCAGTGACCGGCCCCGGGCTCGAATCCTGCTTGGTCTCCGCAGCCTTTAAGCTAGAAAGTTAGCAGCGCGAAAGTGGCTCACAAAGGGTGCATTCGTAGCTCCGGGTCAAATCGAAAGGTTGCCATGTTGCGGTCAGCGCTGCGCGCAGAGAACTTGCTCGGAGAACTTGCTCATAGACACTTGTCCCGAGCTTGCGCAGCATACTTTTGCGTCGCGCTTGCGCGTCGCAACTTGCTTAGAGCACTTGCGCCCGCAGAGCAACTTGCGCTGAACACTTGGGCCGAGCACTTGCGCAGAGCAACACTTGTATAGAGCTCGCAACACCGAAGCTTATCAGTCACCGAGGGGCGAACTTTGCAGATATCCGCAATAGCACACGCGCACGCACGTGCGCAATTGTGACACACACACATGTCGGCTCTATTTGCTTTGACCTGGCGTGGCAAGAGTTGAGACATGCGGCAGCTGGCTGCTGCATGCAGAAGGCACGCACGCACGCACGCACGCACGCACACACACACACAGACACAAACACACTTACACACTTACACACACACACACACACTTACACACACACTTGCGCACACACACTTACACAAACAGACACAAACACAGACACAGACACAGACACAGACACAGACACAGACACAGACACAGACACAGACACACGCACACACACACACCCACACACACCCACACCCACCCACCCCCACCCACCCCCACCCACCCCCACCCACCCCCAACCACCCCCACCCCCACCCACCCACCCACCCACCCACCCACCCACCCACCCACCCACCCACCCACCCACCCACCCACCCACCCACCCACCCACCCACCCACCCACCCACCCACCCACCCACCCACCCACCCACCCACCCACCCCCACACCCACACCCACACCCACACCCACACCC